AGAGAGAGAGAGAGGAAGAGAGCAGAGATGGGAGGTGGGCAAGGCCCACCTTTTAAAAGGGGACCTAGCAAATGTGCACAGCAGGTTCTCTTAGTGGCTGCAGCTGAGGGTCCAGCCTGTCAGGACCTCAAGGGCAGGCCAGTGCAGATGCCTGAATACTAACACCCACAGACCTGCCCGCCTGCCTGCCTGTCTGTATATCTCTGTGTGTGTGTTTATCTGTCTGCCTGCCTGTGTGTGTGTGTGTGTCCGCCTGTTTGCCTGTCTCTGGTGTCTATCTGTCTGTCTGCCTGCGTCTGTATCTTTGTGGGTGTGCGGGGGAGGGTGTGTGGGTATAGGTCAGAGGTCAACCCCAGATATCCTGCTCCAGTTCCATCTACCTTGTTTTCCAGACAAGGTCTGTCACTGGCGTGGGACTCACCAAGTAGGTTTGTGTAATGTTGAGAGCCCCAGGGATCCACCGTTTCTGCCTCTCCAGTGCTGACGTCACAAGCGTGTGCCACCACACCCCACCATAAATGAGTCTTTGTTTTAAAAAATAATTTTTTTAGTTCAGTCTCCAACCCAAAAAATGTACATGCATTCAAATAGCTGGGTCTCTGTAATATGTCCTTTACTCTGTTGGCCAAATAGTGTTTAATGCTCCTGGATTCATGAATGACCCCTGTGGACTCTGCAGGAGCCTGGGGTGAACTGGAGATTGGGGGAACCCCTGATCTGCCAGAATCCTATCAGCCCTTGTGAAGATTCTGAACATATCTAGTGTTATTTCTATAATTATTTTATTGTATGGAGACAATGACTCACTGTGTAGCCCAGGCTACCCTCTTGAGTACTACACCTGGTCTACTTTATCATGGTCACATCCGAGGTCGAGGAGGGCGTCAAGCAAAGGTGTGCACCGTTCCAGCGCTGGCCCGGGACATGCAGCCTTCATCCTGTCCTGCACTCTGGGGGCGTGATGAGAAGCTCCGAGCTGGTGGCTATGAAGTGTCTTGAGATGGTTTCTCTTGTGATTGTGTCTATTTGCACAACTGTGAGGTGTGGGTGCAAAAGGCCCTGCATCCAGGTGCAGCCGGTCAGTGACTCAGATGGGCAGTTTGTCAGGCCACTGACTCCCTGGGCCGCCAGCAGGAAGGTGTGGCCGTGAGCATTAAAGCCTGGATGGCAGACGGAGTCTGGGAGTCTCGTCAGCTTGGAGACTATCAGTAGCCACATCAGGTTCTTGGCAAGCACTACAGGCTGGAGACAGCGTGAGGTGGGGAGGCCTGGACTCTCAGGCAGGGCGGCCTCACGCCCGAGGCATCCTTTCAGGAAGTCCAACTAAAACCATCCTTTTTTTTTATTGCTTCAAAGTGTTTTTATTGGCACTTGGTGACCTCTTTATAGATTTATTTAGGCAGTATTCAGGGATGTGTCACTGATGTGCAAGAACTAAGTTTTGAAATGAGGGTCAGGAACCTTTTGTGCATAATTTATTTTTCTTTATTATTTTTATTATTAAGACAATCTCATACTGGCCAGGCTGGCCTTGAATTTGCGGCACTTCAGCTCTGCCTAATAATAGCTGGGATTACAGGTGTGTGCCGTCACACCCAACCGTACACAGTTTCTTTTTATCTATTTAAGGTTTGGCTTTTATTTTAAATTATGCATGTGTGGGTTTGTGCACATGAGTGCAGCGCCCTCAGAGGCCAGAAGGGGGCACTGTATCTCATGGTGCTGGGGTTGCTGGTGACTGCTAGCTGCCTGATGTGGCAGTTTCTCATCGGCAGCGACAACCTTCCGGGTGTGGAGGGTTTGGTATGAGTTTCTGATGCTGGCATCCAAGTCTCATTTTTGTACTGTGTTGTTTGAGCTAATAAAGATACTGACTTTCTCAGAGAGTGAGTTGGGTCTTTCCTGGGAAGCCTGATGACCACCCCTTTGCTCTATGCAGTGCAAACAAAATGGCTGCCCCCCCCCCCCCCCCCCCCCGTCCCATCCAGTAGATGCAAGATGGCCACCACCCTGCCCCATCCAGGACAATCAGAGGCCACTTGATAGGGGGGCCAGGCTCCCTGTGCTTGCCCTGTGTTCTCTCTGGATATTTCTCAGGTGATCCATCTATTGTGTGACACCGTGATGGCACAGTAACAAAGGGGTCATAGGTCAGGTGGTCAGGAGCCCCAAGCTTCCCATCTGCAAGGTCAGGAACAAGACACCTCCCTCCTGACTTGACTCGCTACAACCCTGTGAATGTCAGGGCCACTGAACTGAGGCATTAGACAGGGGAGGCAGGGAGAGGAGGTCATGAAGGGGAGAGAAGCGGGGTGGGGGCAGGGAAGAGGAGGTCAAGTAGGGGAGAGACGGAGAGACGGGGGAGGGGGGGCGGGAAAGAGGAGGTCAAGAAGGGGAGGGGGGGCGGGAAGAGGAGGTCAAGAAGGGGAGAGAAGCGGGGTGGTAGCAGCAGACCAAGAGAAAAGCCACGGACTAAAAGGCCAAAGTTCACCTGGACCAAGAGGAGACAGAGCCAATATGGCTGGGTTATTTAGGAATCAAAGAATCTGGGGCCAGGAGAGTGATGCTCATGGACTGGAGAGGTTGGGATGGGGGATGTCAGCCAGGAAGACTCTGTGACAGGTCCTTGTGAGTAGGGACCAAGGGAAAGACCAGGTTCCACTCTGATGTTAGATAGGCACTTGCGCTAGCTATTTGTCCCGGTTTTCTTTGAGACCCAACAGTATCCGGTCTGAGTTCAGCTTGGGCTAAATTAGACCTGGTCTGCAAACAAAAAAGGGCCAGCACACCTTTGATCCCAGCACTCACAAGGCAGAAGAGGGTGGATCTCTGTGAGTTCAAGGCCAGCCTGGTCTACTTAGTAAGTTCCAGGCAAGCTTAGACTACGTTATAAGACCCTGTGTTTAAAGGAAACACAAACAAATGAGGGGAAGAAGGGATTAAAAGAGACTAATTAAAGTTACCAGAGACAGCAAATGAAAACACGGGCCACCCAGCAAATTTGAATTTCAGGTAAATGGTTGTAAGTTGGGCACACACTGCCTTGAAAACAACTGGTCAGCGTTTACCTGAGATTTTCAGTCACAAGGTGCCCTGTGTTTCACCCGCCAATCCTGGAACTAGTACAAAGGTCTCTCTTCATTAGTTCAAAACAGGAGACATTGGGGGAGGCAGTGGTGGGGAAGAGACAGAAATCTTTAATAATAATAAAAAAAAAAAAAACAGGAGACGTTAACCCAAGCCAAGAGAATCTATTATAAGGGGTTCAGGATCCTTGGGACAATGGTGACATTGGAAGGCTTGATATTCTCGCTCTGAGGGAAGACAGTTGTTAATGGGGGCTGCGTGCCCTGGTGCCAGGGAACTGGCATTTCTGGGTTGAGATGGACGCTCCTGTAGATGAAGGTCCTCACACTTAGATGAAAGTTGTGCCGTGGGGACTTGGGGCCACACACCAACCTCCAGGTCCCGTCCCTCATGGCTTACACTACTACTAGATCAGCCAGAGTAGCCCTGGCGACATCAGGGATCTTCATTTTATGTTGGCTGTGGGTGGGTGGTAAGGAGGCTATCACATCTGAGACAGTCTTATGTAGCTCAGGCTAGTCCCTAACTCACTAGGATAGCACTGAACTCCTGTCCCTTAGAGTTGAGCCACCACGTCCCCCTCTGGACCTTGATTCTTCGTTAGCCTTTCAAAAACCCATTTTCCCCCTGAGATGTCTGTTTAGGCTCCTCCAAGGGCTTCTTGTCTGCTGACCTTTACCCCTGGGTCCTCAGTGGCCAAGTCCAGCTTGCAGCTGAGCAAGCATCAGCCCTGGCTCTAGCTTTTGCATTTGAGTATTTGTTAAGCAAATGCTGCTGGAGCCTGTGGGCAGCCTGGGCCTCCTTTTTGGGCCTGGTTGAGGTGCTTTCCTTTATAGGGGGCCATGGGGCACATCTTCTGCTAGAAAAGCTGGAAATGTTGAGGCTTATAGTGAGACCCATCCTCGGATCCTAGCCAGAGTGACTCCACCTTGTACCAAGCCTTCAGCAAGTCAAACCATCCTACCCATGGTCAGTGTTTGCAGAGACCAAGAGACTCAGAGAATGCAGGCAAGCATGCAGCCCCAAAGTAGCCAGAGTCTGGTGACTCTGTGGTTCACTTCAGCCAGGCCAGGACCATCTGGACTGCGTCAGCTTGAGGTAGTGTTTCTTAGGTCTCAAACCGGGGTCAAAGGGCTGAGATGCCCAGACCTGGCCACCAGGATCTCCCAGCATTCCTCAGTCCCTACCTATTTCAGGGTCGTCCTGGTGGGCATACCCTGTCCCTGCCCTGAACACTCTGCCCAGGAGCTGGGCTACCCTTCCCCTGGTTGCTCTTCTCTATGTAGTCCAGTCATTTGGGCTACTTGGTCCTTTTACCCTTTTCCCTTGTGGCCTCTTGGCTCCAGGATTTCCCTCTCCCCTCCCTCATATCCTCTGTCGGCTTGGAATAAGGTCGTGTTCGCTCTGGACTCTTCCAGACTCCTCTGGCTGTTTCCTCCTGTGTATCTACTATAACCGTCTCCTCTGTCATATCTAGGAGCGGCCGTGTCCTCTTTATTTCTTTTTCTCATTCTGCGCTCTCATGGGGTCTGCATCAGTTCTTCTGGAGATTCAGAGTCGGAGAGCTACAGCTATGTTTAAGTTTAAGTTACTGTGTTGAAAGCAGAACAAGAATGCCTCTGACCTGCAAGTCCCACTTGCCCGAGGACAGACAACTTCCTGAAATGCTGGGCTGCTGTGCCTGTAAGATAACAAGCCACTGCTTTCCTTCTGCAGACAAGGTTGGTTGCCCCAACCACACAGGATGTGCTTGATCATACATAGGTGGGAGGTATGTAGGCAGGAAGTACGTCAGGGTGTATGCTTACCTCTGATTGGACGAAGGCACGATGTACATAGCCTTGTGGCTTTTGCCTTTATAGACATGGGACTAATAGTCATTCTCTGAAAATTCCGGGTATGGACCTGGCCGAGATCCACCATCCTGGCCTGTTTTTAACAAAGCCTCCTTCCCAGCACTGGGGAGGCAGAGGCAGACAGATCTCTGAGTTTGAGGCCAGCCTGGTTCAGGACAGGTTCCAAAGCTACAGAGAAACCCTGTCTCGAAAAACCAAAACCAATCAAACAAAATAATACTAAAATAAAGCTTGCTTCAATTTTAACTCAAAAATTGTGGTAGTGATCTTATTCTTGACCAGCCGGATTAACAAGAGCCACCCCACAGGAGTCGAACACCTCTGGTATGCAGTTCTCCAAAGTAACCCCTTTTCTCAACTCACCGTTACCCCTCAAGAACTTGAACAAGCCATTTTGGGGCTGCTGTACTATGCCAGCTTGAGAGCAGATGTTTAATTTTACATGTCCCCAGAGCATCACCCACGGAGGCTGGAGATGTCTTCCTCGTGGCTCACTGTCATAGCCGTGTGAAGGACACTCCACCCTCACTGGTATGGGGGGGGGGACATTTCGTCCTTGACATTCTCCCCGGACTCCAAGACTGGGAAAGCCTGCAACTGCTGGTCTGCATGGCTGAGCCTTACAATTCCAGGGGGGATGGAAAATCTCTGGAGCCCAGAATGCTGCTCAGGCCCCTCCCTGGTGGGCAGGAGACTCCTCAGGCAGGGAAACAGACATGGGGAGGGGGAGCAGACCTTCTGCAGCGCTGGATGGCTGAGAGCAACCCCCTGGTCCCAACTGGCCCGCCTTGGGCGGGAAGCTGGACTCGGACTCCAGGTACTGGGGTCTCTCCTGCATCAGTCAGCCTAGGTGCTCTGTCCAACCACTCCCTAGGAAAGGAGAAAGAATCATTTTGAGAGCCTGTTCCTAGGACATCCTGACCGCAGTTCCCCTCAGGCCTCTTTCCAGCGTTCCCTCTGCTACACTTGCTCAAAATCAGGGATCTAGGATTGTCCCAAAAGCCAGTTAAGGGGTTCACTTTATTATCCCAGACCCCTTAGCTATTCTGCAAAGGAGATCCCTCATGAGGAAGTGATTAAAAAGGTGTTTGAAATATTATTCAGTTTATAAACGATCAATTGGTAGTTGTTTTCCAGGAGGTGGGGTGGTCTCCAGACTGCTCAGTTCAGTTGTGTGGTTAGCCTACTGCTCTGGGTATGGGCGCAGATGGATCACAGATGCGCGGGTGGATCACAGACACGCGGGTACCCTTTGGAGGTCATCTGTGCACTTCTCTTCAGCACTCTTCATTTTATTTATTTTGAGAGAGAATTGTTTTGGTTTTGTTTTGTTTTTAAAGACAGGGTTTCTCTGTATAGCCCTAGCTGTCCTGGAACTAACTCTTGTAGACCTGGCTGGTCTGGAACTCATGTAGAGGTAGAGATCCACCTGCCTCTGACTCTCAAGTGCTGGGATTAAAGGGTGTGCCACCACCTCCACCAGCGTCCCAACTTGCTCGCTGCGCTCTCTCTCTCTCTCGCT